TTATTGCAAATCCCATTAAACCATCCGCAAAAAACTGAAATTTTCAAATTTTATAAGCTTATTCATTTGTTATTTGAAAAAAGTGCTAATACAGTTTTCGATGAAGAACTGTAATAACAGTTTTTTTTTGTTAGAAAGCATCATAAATACAATAGGAAAAAGCTCGTTACTTCTTCTTGTGATTTAAAAACTTATGATGATTAGCTACCTTACAGGTGATTATGAGTCAAGACTGTGGAATTCATGCTAGAAAAGAATTCACATTAAAATTATTGAAAAATCATCAAACCTCCATTCCCGTAAGACCGTATCGTTCACGGGTTGCCTTAGTTCGAATAATTGCAACAAAATATAACATATTGAGGGTAAAAACAACAACTCCTGCTACGATATAAATTGAAAACCTCATCATGCTCCTGGAAAAAAAAAAAAAACTTTAAAATTCTGCATTTGAATTAATTGAAAAATTTTTTTTGGCAACTTTTAAATTGGACAAACTGCAGAAAACAAAAAATTTGTACATATGTTTATCACGTAATCGTCAATTCATTATTAAATTCATAATTTTTTTTAACTTACCCAAAATAACAATTATTTTGGATTTTCCAGGAAGATATAATTAACTATTGAAAGAAGTGATCACGCTATTTGATTCAATTTTTCAGTAATTCATTCGTGACAAAATTTTTTTCCTTAACGCTTTTATGCTTTTTCCTCCTATCCATCTATGCTCAATTTTTCTTTTTCGAACGCTAATTGAATTCAATTTTTTTTTTATTTCTTGCAAAGAATTTTGACAATCCACTGATAATATGATATTTAATACATAATATAATATTTAGTGTTAATTATCAATTTGATGTAATTATAAACAAAAGTTATGATGGTAGTAATTAAAAAATAATTATAGTTATAATTTCGCTGAAACTGCTTTTTTCGTTTCCATGGAATAAGTCTGATAAATTTGACTGATAATATTTAATATAACTATAAACAATTTCATTTTTTTTTGTTATTAAATATTGTAATAAATTTTTTACTACAGTTATTAAATGTTGTAATCAGTTTTTAAATATTGTAATAAACTTTCTTTACAAAATTCAAACAATTTACAGTCTGACTAATGAAATGATCCAAACAGAATACATCATGCTTAATCGAAATCCATGATAACAATGCCAAATTTAATTCATTAAAAATTTAATTAATACAAAAATTCAAAAGTGATTTATCCTAGCATACTTCTGAATATTTAAGCGACTGTTATAATTCTGTAAATGCAATAGTAATTTTTAAAGATAACTTTTCAAAAGTTATTTTCTTTTGCTGTGTTTTGAATAGTGGAAATTTCAGAATAACAGCAGTTCATTCAAGATTTTTCAGGTGGAAGTAATTTTTTTCTCTTACCAAATTTTATTTACCATTTAAGCATGGATAATCGTTGTTCGATCAAAATGTTCGATTTTCGCATCACTCTCGAGAAAAATTACAACTATTAAAAGTATGCTAACAGAAAAAAAAAATAAAACAATCAAAATCTTCGAAACTTGAGCAACGTGAATGAAGAAGTTTGTTTAAAAACGAAAAATGTTTTCAACAAAGTATTTAACTATTGTTTATGTTTTAAAAATTCACTTAAATGAAACTTCAAAATTTGTTTGCGGTAAATTATGTAAACAAAGGCATTTGAGTTTTATAAATATTGCTAAAAGTAATTTTGCATATGTAATATCATCTCAGTTTTTTAATACTATATTTAAATTGCTCTCTTCTCGAAATTTATCTTTAATATTTCAATGTTGTTCATTTAATGTGAGGTAAAATGACTGTGGAGAGATATGTTTGCTAATTTGTTTTACGATGAAATTTGTTGTGAAAATTTTTTCTGTTGTTTGATTTGATTGTTTGACGGAGTGCTTTGTTTTGCTGTAGTTGGGAGAAGTTGACAAGAGATTATTTAGAAGAAAATTTGATTCTTTTTGAGGTCATGGGTCATAGTTATCAGAATCTACCAATGATAAAGTCGATGACTTTTGTTTTTCTCTGCTTATTGATCCGAAAGATCCGACAGAGCATAGTTCGAGAACAATTTGTCGAAGTGGTGGTCCAGAAGGAATTAGTTATAACACTGAAACACTTGTATACACATCTTTTTACTGACTGATATGATAAGGAGTAGAAATCGAAGTGCCAAAAGAAATCTAACTAAGTGCCCTTATTATCAACTGGCATCAAAGATCGAAGTGAACAGTAATTTTGGAATTTCTGATCATATTAAATGACAAAAATATTAAATTAATTATGTAAATCACAAATTGTAAATAAAAGATAAGATTTGTTATAAACACAGTCATTAATTGACAAGTTTTGAGACAGTAATTTTTACGTAAATATAAATTTCTGGAAGACCCTTTTATCATGTTAACATTCTCATACCGTAAGTTATTTTGATTCTTTGGCAGAAATCTTAAAAAATTTCACGAAGTATTGATTTTATTCCGGATTTTAGAATTAACTTTATTTTGCATTTTTTTTTGCAAAAATTTATAATGTGAATAATTTTGAATATGAATAAAAAAGAAGTTATAAAAACGATTCAATTTACATGTTTTATCATTTGCAGTGTCTTGAAATTTGTGAGCGAGTAAGGTGACAACAGGAAGAGGTGGATAAGCTTCATGCCTTTGATCAAAGTAATCAATCTTCAATTATCAGAATACTAAAAAAGCAGAGCTAATATTGGCTTTATGAACTTATAAATGAAATAATTCATAAATTAAGTAATAATACTGGTCTAGAAAAAAGCATCAGAAGACAGTTGGACAGAACAGGTGATCGGTGCACCTTTAATAAGCAATCCAGTACAAGTACCTGATCAAAATAATATGTATATTGCACGTTATGATAAAGATGGATTGGTATATTTTGGAGGAGCATGGAATGAAAGTGGCGTGGTACAGGTAAGTGTTGTTTTTTTTTTTTTTATTTCTTGAATATTGAATGAAAATTTATGGTTTTCTTTTAGAAATTTCAAAAATTTTGCAGAAAACGTTAACGAAACACTGTTTTTTTTTTTTTTTTAATCAAAATGTTCTAATCATTAACTCGAGATTTTTCTGACGTTCTTTTTCACTTATTCATTTTAATGAAAAATGAATTATTCCGAAATTTATCAACAAGTTAATAAGAAATGAACATTGAAGCTCTATCACTAATTATCAATTACAGATTTTGTTTCAAATAGTATTGTAAATTTGATAATTTCCTAATTATCAAATTATCTATCGATAAAAATTTTTAACAATTGATTTTGTTATTTCAAATTATCTATCGGTGAAAAATTTTCATAATTCTTTTAACAAATTAAATTGTATAATTTATTATTCGTATTTCAAATATTGATTGTTATATTTTTCAGTGTGAATTTGCTTGTGAACAAGTGAAATTAAAAGGAGCAGATATTGGTGATAAAATTTGGGTACCATATCTGCCTTATTAATTAAATTTCTTTCATTCATTTATATGTGTAGGGAAAATTCACCGTACATGTATTAAAATGAATCATACATTTAGTAGGTTGTAGTATTTACTTTTAAA